TAGTAAACAATAAATAACTGCAGTTCCAGTGCATGTATTTTTCTTCGTGCTTGTCTCTGTGCTGCCCTTTCCACCATTATCCCCAGTGTGTGTTTAACAACGTAATGCCCAGAGAAGCCTAGAAAAGTGAAGATAGGTTTCTTTGTCGTGCCACTGGTTTTTCTCCCCTGGCACGGAGCATCGGTGTTGCTGAAGGGAGCTTCCCACTAGCATGGTCTCCTTTCATCTTCTGCTGCAGGCGTCACATGTAGCCATGACTACAGGAACAGTCTCAAGAGTAAGACACAGCAACTCCCCTTAGATACCGGCAAGCCTGGTTATACGTGGGGAGGAGCACATGGTAGTCTCCCTCCTGAAAAAAAGCTCTGAGTCAAGGGGCTGAGGATTGGTTCCATGATGTGGTCACTTGGAACCAAACCAGTTACCTCAGCCTTTACAGCCCTGTGTGGAGGGGGCAAGCTTGTCTTCGTGTCCCCCTTGTCCCTTCTCCAAGTACCACTCTGTCCCAAGGTCTGGGAGGGCAGATACTGTTTACCAACGACTGCTTGTACGGGATTAGCAAAGAGCGCAGGAAGTTCCTTATTCCTTTGCTGAGGTGGCCGGAGTAGGGGAGGATGAAGAGAAGGTGTGCAGTCAGGCAGTGTGCATGGCAGAGGGCCGCTCAGGGCTGGCCAAGGACCTTCAGTGTGATTGCACCAGCACAGCACTGCCCAGCTCCGGCAGGATACCACCAGCTGTGCCTTCATCACCTGGTAGTGAGGACCCAAGCGATGGGTCTGTAGAACAAGGCATTTGGTGCTGAGGAGGTGATGGCTGCATCATACACATTTCTGGGCTCTTTGTTGCCGCAGGCTACCTCCAGTCTCACTTCTTGGAGTGACAAGCCACCAACACTCCCCTGATCTGACCCTGCTCTGAACTGAAACACAGAGGTACACCCACATGAACATGGCTGTGCTGCCTCTAGGCTAACCCACGTAGGTGTCACCTGAGTGTTCCAAAAAGCTCTATCCGCTGCCAGGCCCTCCCTTCCTTTGGATTCCTTCTGTTAATAAAGCAGGTAATAGTTCCCTGTCTCTCGGAGGCAGGCAAGCAGTTGATTGTACAGCACTTGGAGAGTTCAGAAGCGCCGCGGAGTATGTGCTAAATATAATGAGCATTTTACAGCTAAACATATTATATTTTTTTATTTATTAATGGTGTTAATCAATATTAACCTCCTGTCCACTAGGGTATTATTGTAACATTAGAGTGCACAACCGATTGCCGCCGTCAGTACTTAAAATGTGATTATGCTGAGGCTAAGAAAATTAGAAAGTGCAGTAAATAGACCTTGAGTTTGTTTCTTCCAAAACAAAGAGGCATCAATGGGCCTGTTCATTATTTTGGGTTATAATTTGCTACTGATACTTAAGAAAAACTATGTCTTAGAATTTTAGCCCCCTTAAGTTATGTGTCTGTGCACACAAGCTTGTGTGCATTTGTATGATAATAACATTTGCAGTACTGTCAAATAATATTTTTTAAAAAACAAACATTGTCTCAAAGGAATTATTAACTTCAGAGTACAGCACATCATTTTGGTTTCCAGTCTTGTTTTTCCCCTGGTAATTATGTTGAATAATATATGATTTTTCATTACAAACTATCCAGTAGGGATTACAAGATACACCACACATCTCAGTTAATGTGGCTGTCGGAATCTTAACTGTTACATTCCCATTTGCATTTTAATTTTTACTTTTAATTGAGCAACTTTTAATGCTACATCACAGTTTATTTGTGTGGGTCTTATCTTGATCTCTTTAGTATTCAGGCTTAATGAGTCAATTCTTTATTATTTTATTGATGTATTAAGTGTCTATGGCTAGGTCAATTGAACAATGCCCTCATGATTAAGAGCAATAGAGATTACATTTAAGAAGTTAGCTTCATACGTATGAACTTCTGTGTATCTGGATTCATGCGGTCCAATATTGATTAATCTTTCAGCTATATTCCATTATATATATGCATAGTTTGATTTTTATATATATAGAAAAAGGTGTGTGTGTATGGCAACATGTATATACTCATGTGAATGAAATCATATATGTAAGTAAATCCATAAGTCAGAATACTGGTTATCGGGTAGTTTTTGCATCTAGTTACTGACAATCCAGTTAAGCCAGTCATTGCTGAATTGGATACTATTTTTATAAGCTTAAAGGAGACTACATGTAAAGGAAGATTATGTAAACAGTGAAGTTATGCAATCACAAATTATGATCAAAACTTGTTAGATCAAAACTTGATCTGATGTTTGCTGTCTGCCATTTCTTTCTTTTCTATCCTGTGAACAGGTCATATAGGAAAAAGAGCTAAAAGCTGTAGTGAAAAAAACCTCAAAGCTGTTACGACTTTTATGCTTTCAAGTGCTTGAATTTCACAACGAAACTCTGTCTCTTTAAAGAGGAGTTACAAAGCTGTTCCTACGATTCAAAAAATGAAGAAGCCCAATTAAAAAAAAAAAAACCAACCTTCTGGTTTTATGCAGTGGCAGCGCTTCCCCTCCTTATTCATTATCACAAGGTTTGGGTTCTGTGTTTCCAGCGTTGCAACACGGAGCAATTTTAGCCCTGGCGGGAGGGTGCGGGGGTGCCGGGGGCAGAGCGGCGGCTGCGGGGCTGGGCTCTGTGCCCGGCCACCTTCACCTCCCCGCACCCGCGCTGCTGATGCTGATGCTGCTGCTCCCGAGCCCTCTCCCAACGGGGGCTGTTGGCCACTGTTGTTGATGCTTTCCTCCCGGTGGGAATCTAGTCGACGTGAAATCATCATGATTATGTTTTTAAATGAGACTGGGAACGGTCGCGGCAGGGCTGCGTTTCACACCCAGGGCTAGTCCTCGGCGGGAGGAGAACTTGTCAGGGTCAAGCCTGATTGCTTGATGGCACTACGCCACCTCTAGCTCTCAAGAATTTAGAAATTTACTAATTTCTTTAGGTGCTTTAGGTGACAGAGACACTCAGTCTCATTGTGGTCTGGTGATGCCATCTGAAAGTTTAAAGCTTTTTTTTTTTTTTTTCCTAAAACTTTACTCACAGTGTGCTGTTGTATGTTGATTTGGTGACTGCCTAGGTAGTTGCTAAATCCAGGCTGGGTTATGAAACTTATGTAGAATATGTGTGTATATTGGCCACATGTCAACATATATATGCATGTATGTATGTCAGCAACTGCTTGCTGTGAGGTTTGTCACAAATCACTAGGCACGGGTGGGATTCAAAGAGAGCTGTTCTAATCAAGAATCTGCTCAGACTGTTTGAAGAAACTAATTTAACGGGACCTCTTTGCAGCAGATCCCAGCCTTTCCACATACAACATAAAAAAAAAAAAAAAAGTGAGTTTAAACTCCCCCGAGTTTATTTAAAATATGGAAATTTTGTCATAATTACGGGGAGACACATCGTGGTCGACTGTTTTGACTGAGACAATAAACAATAACAAAATAGTCTACAGGGAGAGGTTTAGAATAAAACTCCGGGGAAATTTTGTTTTGGAAACAGTGACAAATGTGGTTCCTAAAACACTTTATGCCCCCTGGAACTGGGATGCTCCTGGCTGAAGACTGGCATTCTTCTCAGTTTTATCACAGTTGAAGGACCACCATTTCAGTCTGCACTTAAGGGGTCTCTGACACCATAATCACATTTCCATGTGCTTTTCTGTGGACCAGATATCTCAAAGCTCCCAAAACTGGACCTGGCATTCCTCATGAAGTTTGGTCTGCACTGAAAGGGAAATGTCAGGGATAGGACATCTGGGAATCTTTTCCATGCCCTCAAAGGCACAGCATGTTCAAGAGATTATTCTGGGTCATCTTGCCTGGCCTGATCCTGCCCTGGGCCACGCTGCACGCCCAGCCAACTGGAAGCCAAGGCTCATCTGTGGTTCTGTATGGGCGTCTTGCCAGCTTTGGAGGTCTTACCATCTCTAATGCAGTGCTGAGTCCCATTTCAGACATTTGGTATCTGTCGACTTCAGTGACAACGCCCTCATTAACACCATGGATGGCTTTGGCTGAGTACCTGAGAGTTTGGTGCTCATTACATGACAATTGTGGTAACATTACGGCAATATATTACCTGAAAGGAGGAGGTGTTACATGTGATAGTGCCTTCAGAATACTTTTAAGAATCTACAAAATCATTACTTGAGGATTTAGGTTCCCCCGACATCAATGTGTCTGTATCATTTCACACATGAAATAACACATTAAGATGTTATTAGTGGATATGACAATCTATCTTACTTTCCTCCGGGGACTAGATAATGGCTTATGGATATATTAATCCTTTTGATTTTGGCATATATTATAACATGATGGATATGTGGCATACAACAATGTTTTTTGCTTGCTGAGATACTGTGAATAAAAAGAGAAATAAATCCACATAGGATGTGTCTATTTTGAGAGTTCATCTACAGCCTGGTTGTGTTCTTTGTTCTCTGGGCAATGGTGGGTTTGGGTATTAGGGCGCATGAAAATACTGGGCTTTTCGTTTGGGTTTTTTTTTTTAATTGCAGAGATGCTTAAACTTCTGGCAGGTAAGGGGACAGATGGGAAAGCACTAATTCTCAGACTCCCATCAGGCAACAACATATCTTGTAGACAGACTATCTAACGTATTATCCATGATGGCATGCAAATTAGTTGACAGATGCATTATTTGGGAATGATGCTGCACCCCAGTGCTCCTCCCATTGCCAAAAGTTAATATGCTATGTTGAAAGAACAAAATTAGGTCAAAGTTCTGCTGTTCTTATGTCATGCAGAGACCTCCCAAACTCTTTTTTCCTTCCATTCTACTTCATGCTACTTTTGTTGTCACTTTGGTCTTCATGTTATACGAGTCTGATATGTTGAATTTCTCTGTTCACTGAAATACTGCATAACAGAAACTAAGTAAGGAACCAATGGGTAGAGTTCTTCATATTAACCTATCCTACTTGCCTTCCAGGCTGATTTTGATGATAAGCCTGACTCCTTGTTCTTCAGCGATGGGCAGCGAAGAATTGACTTTGTTTTGGTGTATGAAGATGAAAACAAAAAAATGACTCATAAGAGGAGTGATCGTAAAAAGCAAAAGGTAAGTTATTTTCAGTATGAATCTAAATTGTTTGTTGGGTGTTAAGAGAAGCGGGCAGAAACAGAACAGCAATTGCATTGCCCTGTCCTCTAGTGCTCTTGGGAGCTGGGAGACTGAAGCCCATCAAACTGAGCAGGGAACGGGGTGAGCTCAAACCAGTAGATTGGTGTGTAAATGGGCAGAGCACTGCACACAGTGTCTGTCAGTGTGTGGTAGGTGACCTCAGAGGATCCTTCTGGGAGGGAACCCTTCAGGAGGCATGAGCAGAAAAATCTGGTATCAGGTTCCCAGTTAGAATTAGATGTGAAGATCTTCAGACTAGGGCAATTTCTCCCTGTATCACTCCTTCCTGTGACACCTCCACAGATTGGCCCTCCCAGAGACCTTGCAAAAAAATCTCTGACTCAAGCCAGTGACTGCTTGATGCTCCTTAGCATCTATGAATGACAATCACAGATTATTTTTAACTGTAGGTAGTAGGTCTGTCAATGGACTACATTCATTATGGCACCCAGGGCCACATAAACAAGCTCAGCCATGCCACTGAGCTATTTTAATTGTGAACTGGCTGAGAAATATCCATCCCTGGGGTTGTAGTCCCCTTGGCATCTGCGCTCTCCCATCCACCCGCTTCCTTCTCTGAATTTAGCAACGCTCCATATTCCAGCAGCAGCCTCTGGTAGAGTCAGGCAGGGACAAAGATATCACTGAAAGCAGCTCATATACAAATAATGATTTGCAGTTTAGGAAAGAGAAGAGTAGGAGTAAAAAGGCCTGTAGCTAAGTTGGTTGATATTCATTACACAGTGTTGTCGCTGGCATTAACGGAGCAGCCATAAGGAATGTCGTTAGCAGGGTTTGAGGGAGTCCTGCAGTGGGTGGATGTTGCGTTACACACGATCACAGGATCAGCAATAAAAATTAATTGAAAGAGGTAATTAGAAACAAAAACCTGCCCCTTTGGAAACAATTGTTTTTATCAATTAACATTTCACATTTATGTTTGTAATATTTGGCCATTGCCCAAATGTACTTAAAAATATAATGAGCGTCTTTTCCAAACGGTGATGGAAATTAAATGTGAGCAATGGGTTAGTATTTTTAGTGCAGCATTAATGTTAGGACATAAGCCAGAGTGAAACCGTGAATAATTAGACCAGGAGATTGCGGGTAATGCGCTAGGTGCTTGGAAAAAAAGTTTACTTTCAAAGGTCTCAATCCCACAAAGATCTGCAGCCACACTGATTCTGTGGTGTGCAGAGGAAGAGCAAGTGGTCTACCTGCACGCAACAAATGTGAGAACAAGAGTATGATGTTAGACTGATGATCAGATAAGGTGAAGACTTAGTGGCTGGGGAACAGCTCTGTTGGAAGAGGCCCTCATGGTCTTGGTGGACAGCAAGTTGAACAAGAGCCAGTTGTACGGCCTGGCAGCGAAGTGGCCAACAAAGGTTGTATGGACCGAACTATGGTCAGGAGATTGAGACGCGATTGGGCTGAACTGGATGTGTCAGAAGGAAGCTGGAAACAACGGTGATAGCAGTTTTCAGAGCCAGGATTTCCATGGACAGGGAGAATCTGAAGCTGTAGGTGTACTGTGGGAGTTGTAGGCAATAATTTTGATAGTGGAAATGCATACAGTGCTGAAATGGCAGTAGAAAGCATAGAAAGAGACAAGGATGAAGAAGTGGCAGTGACAGAGGACTTCCAAGGACAAGAACAAAGGGTACAAGTATGATGACACTGAGCTGGAGAACTAACGAAAAAATCCAAGGCTGACCGTGAAACAGGCAAAATGTTACACATAGGGTACAGTACCAGAGGGCGCTGAAAGGTGGAGGAAGGAGAAGAGGGAGTGAGAAGAGGGTTTTGTTCAATGTGTCTGTCACATAAGGTGAAATGAGTCACCTGGTCATAATCAGACTCCGTTGATACAACTCAGAAGTACTGTCTCCCTCTCTAATGCCTCACATACGGGTGTCAGCAGTTTAGAAATGCATTTCCTTATCTGTTGTTGCGGGAAGAGACTTTTAAAATGTGAATAGATGTAAGCTTTCTAACTTTTTAGCATGGGATAGGTGCAGGTCAGCTCCAAGCACAGAAACACTTTTGTCATCTCGGAGAGGTCCGTTATCTCACTCGAGATCACTTGCTATGCGAGCGGAGAAAACTGTGTGTGCTGCAAATCTTCGTTCCCTGAGCAAATGCTGCACAGACATTGGCAGCACTGATAACATTTTTCTTGCTGCACCTCCTCCTGTGCGTGGTGCAGGATGCTGCCTTGGGACCTACCTCACACTCATACTGGGAGTGAAAGGAGAGAAACTGAGAAGTAACAAAAAAACCCCACAAAACCCTGAATAGAAAATTTAACAGAAGAAACAAAACACGTATGCCTTACGTCTGAGATGGAAAGGAAGATGAGATTTATGCTACAGTTTTGCGTCCTTGGAATTCTAGGGAGAGAATTAACATTTTGGCCTACCACAGTTCCCAGAATGCTGTGGGGATGACGTTGCCCAAGAGACATACAGGTTTTGTCAGTACTGGCATAAAACCTAGTTGAGAGCTTGTCTTAACTGACACCATTTTTTATCTGGTTATAGTTTTTTTTCCAGGGCAAGTGACTTCTACTCTTGTGGTGATATACAAGATATCAAAATGAGGAGTATTGCCATTTGCTGTCAGCTTTAAATACTGCATACATTACTGTCTGTCTCTGATCAATGATTGACTGAAAATGCCAAATTTTATAAGCAGTATCTTGTGTAATTCAAGGTGCTTTAAGCCTGAATAGGTTCCTTGCTCATGGTCCTCTTTCTTTGACTCTCCTGACAGTTTTATAGAGCTATTTTCCAGAGGTTTATTGTTCATAGAATTTGGAAATTCCAGGTTATTAAAGAATAGCAGATCCAGTGAAGTCTGTTCTCATAGGGTGAAATCCTCACTTCACTGAGGTCAGCAGCCAGGTCTCCACTGGCCGTGTGCAATGTTACAGGTCTGTGAAACGTGGGGACCAGGAGTGTAGTCACTGGGACAAATTCTGTCAGACGTGCACTGCACACTGCCTGATTGGATGATGTGGAAATCAGGGCAGTTTAAATTGTTAGTGGACATCTACAGACCTGCATTTCTCAAGTGAAAAGTTTTGAGTGCTGCACTGGGTGGTTTTGTGTGATACTGAGAGTGGAGGAGTCCCCAAACACTTAATGAATTTAGTTGGAAGGATCTGAAAATCAGACCTCACTAGGTAGCCAATTTATTGGATTCAGAGAAATGGGGCACAGATCCATCTATTCTTCTACAGCAAGAGACAAATCAGGTTGTGAGACCATCATTATATTTGATTTGAATGGCTTTCTGTCCTTTTTCAAAACTGAGAAAATGGCCTAGCATTTATTTATATGCGTTAGCAGCATTCTTGGGAAAACATCTCAGAGAAGTGAAGGAAATAATTTCACTGAAAACACTGGAGTGATTTCAATAGAGGAACAAAAAGATGAGATTCTGCAGCACTTGATGATGCACAGTGGTGCTGTGCTTCCCTTACTTTCATGGTTTTCCAATATCTGATTTAAAGGAGACAAAGTCAAACTCCTGAAATAACATCCTCGTGAAGTTTCTAACATAATTTACAGATTGAAAAGTTAGCAGATAAGGTACATATATGCAACTCAATTCAAACTCCAAACACTTTTAAGTTGGTATACAATTAATTTTGCAAGAATTAGCTAAAATCAAACTGTCAGGAGCAGATTCTGGAAGCTATACCTTGCAAGGAATTGAAATTCCTGCCCAAAGCATGTTTTTTAAACCTACAGTTTATGTACCCTATTTGTCAGGATAAGTTACCATCAGAATAGAAATTAAAGATCACCAGTCTTCCCAGAAATGATCCAAAATGCCAGTTTTATCTATTGGGGTCCTCAAGGAGCTCATTGTTGAAAGTTAAAGGGTTAGCACCGGAAAGGTGAATTCAAAATAGATCGATGCAGAATGTCATTCTAGTCCATCTGCTTCCCCCAACAGAAATAAACAGAAAGATTGTCAGTAATTTAAGTAGGAATGTGGACAAAACCTTCATTTCCAGCCAGGAAGTAATCTGTGCTTCACAGAAATAGATAGGTTTTTTAGGGTTTGGGGTTTTTTTTTCAAATTAAATGAAAACTATAATTCACAGAAAATATTACACACATCTTTTTTTTTTTTTTTAAGTTTGTCTTCGTAAGTTCCTGCCTCTAGACTTGTTTAGTTTAGATTGTCAACAAACAGCTTGGATAACTTAAAAAACTGATTGTAGTTCTGCATGTTTCACACCTGCAGTGACAGAACAATACTTGAGCTTACAGAAAAAGGGGTACCTCAGTGCCATTTTATGCAGTGATTTAGGGCAGCAGAGGATGGCAGGTGCTACGTGGCCACAGTGTGCCCAGCCAACATGCCCAGGAAGTCTGATAACAAGGACAAAAGGGACCTTTGAAACTGGGAGGAGGGTGACCACACCTGCCCTGGTCTCTGCTAGCTGGGCTGGGTTTTAAAGCAGGAGCTCCTTGCAAAAAAATCTCTGTTCCTGACACAACCCCAAACCCAAATTTTACTTTGCCTAATGGATGGAAGGAAGGATGACAGAAGGATGGGAAGACAAATGGAAGGAGGGAGTTCCTCTGAAGTTACAGCATACATTCATAGGACCAGAAATGGCCCTTTCCAAACAGGATGACTAGAAGCCACCATTGAAAGCAGAGCTAGACTGCAGTATTGCCAGTTCTGTGTGGTCATGAATCAGATTTCGGAAAATCATGAGGCTGGCTTAAAATCAGAGGGTATCTCAGAAAATGCGTGATTGGGGTTCTTTGGTTTTCCTTTTTTTGAGTCAGCCTTTATAGCATATTCTGCTTCACATTTTTATGATTATCTTCAAACTTAAGGGAAAGAAGATTACAGAAGCAGAACTTCTCAATCAATTAATTTCCTGATGCTGACAGCTGGGACTTTCAGAAAAGCTTTCAAATACCATCAAAGAAACTGAGACTTGGCAGCTAATATTGATACAGTGATCTTCTCTGCTCCCTTTAGCCGATATCCATGGGGGAGGCTTTGGTCCCCATGCTTTTTCTCTTATTGACTGTGATTTATCTGTTGCCTGTCAGGTAAGGCAGAGGTGGCTATTCAAGCACTCTGTCCTTGTTAGGCTTTTTTCCCCTGAAGCCACACAGATATTGTTGTGGGGAACTTTTACCTTTGTGCAAAAAAAAACTAAACAAAGATATGAGTTGGCGTTCTTCTGTCACTGTAATCAAAGCACATGCCTCCTACCGTTTACAAAACAAAAAGAAAAAAAATGCTAGTTGTCTGCTACCAATTTCCAGACCCATAATCTTCTTAGTCTCCTCAGCTTGGCAAGGTAATCGCCAGACACTAAAAGCATTATGGTGAAAAAGGAGCTCCCAAGAGCTAACCCTTCACATGCCTGTAATACTTGGCATTTACTTACCCTATGCTTTCACTTTCTTAAGATTGTATATGATTATGCATCCTGTAGTGTCTTAGTCTATTGGATAGCCGTTCAGTCATCAAAATGTATTTCAGGTTTAGATCAGCAGCATTACCATGATTACGTTATTATCACAACTTAGCTGTGCAGGTAGCTGAGCAAAATGCCGGATACTAAGATGAACTTTGGACAGTCTCCACTTTCCAGCCTAATAAGCTCTCATATCTTTATGCTGTATTCCCCAGTCAATGCAAAACCACTATAGACTCCTCTGGGTAAAAGTCTGGCTCCTCCATAGATCATCATACGCATAATTCAATCATTTATATAAAATAGCAAAGCCCCTAATTAGCAAAGCCTCCCAGGGGCTTTGTTTCTCACTCCTTGCATTAATGCATTATTAGAAACCTTAATATTGTCAACATTCCTCTAAGATTTTGAGGGCAGAATTAATTTGGGGAACTCCTTGCCATAATAAATTATTAAAGCAATCTGATGGTAAGATTAAAAAAAAAAAAAAAAAAAAGCTATTTAGGAAGAAATGAAGCAGGTATTTAACCCTCTGCCTTTTTTATTTGCTGAAACAAAGCAGAACTCGGGTTGAAATATTTTCATGATTTGGTATTATGCACCTTATAAAGAAACGTGAATATGGAAGAAGCAAGGAGGTAGGATGAAATGGCAGAAGAGTTAATAATGGAATAACAAACAACACCTGTGTTGTGTGCCACATACATTAATGATCTGGTAAGGGGATCGAGTTATAATATAACAAAAATTGCAGAGGAAATAATTATGTAGTTTACTCAGAAGCCAAGATGACTGTGAACCTTTAGCTTTGAATGAGAATGGAGAGCACTATTGCCTATGAAACATTGAAAAATGCAAGGAAATATGTTACTGCAAGGAAAGAACTCGTTCACATTTGGGATTCTAAGTCAACACCGTTAGTACAAGGAAGAGACTTAGATGTCACAGGAAACAGCTGTATCAAGTGTCCTCTTCAAGGTTCAGCTACCATCAAAATTCTAGATACTAGAAAGTGTTAGATACATACAATATATTACAAATATGCATATTACATATATATACACAATGTTATATACACAATGAAAAAATATAAATAGTATTATACTATCACCAATAAGCAAGTGGATTAATGGGACATGGAGAGACACCTCCATGAAGAGTGCTATCAAAGTTTGGGATTGTGGTTTTATCCTGACAAAAGAGAGGAATAAGGAGAAATGTGATAAGTATCGATGAAAGTAGAAAACAGTTTTGGCTCTTCCTGTCCCTAAACTGAGAAGAAGGTTGTATTCACTGGAATAAAAAGGCAGAAAACCCAAAGCAGATAAAAGAAATACCTTTTAACAAAATATGAAATTAGTCCATCATGACCATTGCCACATGCAGGTGCTGCAGCTGAGAAGGAACAAAGTATGAATGGGATAGGGTGTTTATGTTAATATTCAGTTCTATAACTATTAACTCCAAGACTTGCTAGAGTTTTGGAAAATTTCTTTTTTCTCCTTTGGAGACTTACAAGAGTCTTTAAACATTATAGAACTGGATGAAACACGTGGAGATACAACTGACCTGTTCCTGTGGAACTCCTGAAGATTTTTCCCCTTTGTGCTGAAGCATCTGTTTTCTACCCCCTAGAGTGAGTGGGTCTTGGGTCTAGTCCTGATGTCCGGTTTCCATCTACCAATCAAAGTTCCTAAGACTTTGTCTAAAGGGTCATTCATTGACTCTGGTCCTTCACAGTAGCAACAGGCCTGGGTCTTAAGCACAAATCCTAAGGCAGTTAGTCTGGCTACAGAGAACCAGGTGACCATTCTTCTTCTAAGTTACTGTGGTGCGAGGTGCAGAATCCTTTAAGCACAGGGCATACAAACCACCAAAAGGTTGGCCAGTAGCATGAAAGCAATCTGGGACTAAGAAAGTAGTATCACCGAGTCACTCTGAGAACCTCGCTGCGTGCCTAGCCCAGTTCAGGAATAAAGCCATCAGTCCCCCGTGCACTAATGTCATCTCCTTCTGGCAAACTGCTCACAGAAGCCCTGCCCCAGCCCCAGCTGCCTACAGCTGCCCCCCCACCCTCCCCCCTTACCCATGCTGATATTTTGCCATGCAGTCTGTAGGACAGGGAGAGCTGGCTACCCTTGACTTACATAAACAAATAACTCTTTGGGGAACTAGCCTGTTGAAGCAGAGAGCTTTTAAATTGGATTACTTCACATGAACTTTCAAAATTTCTTATAAATCCTTTATGGAGTTGTGTATTTTGAGGGGAGAGGGGCTGCTTGTCTCTGTGTGGTTTTTGGGGGCAGCTTATGCGTGTGGAGAAGCAAATTCAAGATTGCAAAGACATTTCAGATTTTTTGTAAGTCACCACCTGGCAGGTGCTGGTAACTGTGAAGTAAAATTAAAATGATCCATGAATTTCATCTTTACTGAGGAAAACTTGTCATGTCCTTCTGGGGACATCGCATGCTCCTAGAATAGCATCACTGACACTACAAGTGCTACAGCTCTCAGCTTCTTCCTTTGGGGATGCTTATTCATGGACTAAAGTGTAGAGGGCTACTACAGTTTGAACGACTGTGTGAACTCATATAATTACTGTGAAAGAGGAAGAAAGTTACAGGTTTCTGGAAGGAAAGAGGGGTGGAAAGCCCTTGAGATGAAGACTTTCTAAAGGGCAGATTAATGGGGAGAGGGAGGCTGCCATCAATAGTTCAATTAGTGACTAAAGGTGAAGGTGATCACAAGTTTCAGAGGTAGTTGCTCTCAAAATTCAAAATTTGGGGCACATTTTTACCTCAGAAATGTACCAGAAACTAAGAGGGTGGATTATCCTCAACTGCATTTGAGGGCAATATTGCATATCAGACAGAAAAAAACCTGATCAGGATTAGGTAGACTGTACCTTACTAATGGTGATCCACAGTAGCTGTCAAGTGGGCTATAGAGATAACAACCCAATGATTCTTCATTTTCGGAGGCAGTTACATTCTTCTATGCATAAATGTTTGTGAAATTTGGAATAGATTTACAGTGCTCAATACCTTTTAACAGAGGAAGAGACAAGTATATGAATCAAACCTGATAAACAACGGCTTGCAACTTGAAGCAACGAGATCGGTGAGTGCTCTTCTCTGTGTGAACGGCTGTGTCTGAGAGCAAAGCCGCCCCTATGGGAATAAGGCAACCGGATATATGAATTTACTGTAACTTTTCTGTCCTCTGAGGAGAAAAATACCGACCTTTTTTCTGCTAGTAGCGCCTCTGTGGTCTGATGTGATATCTTTTAAACTTTGTATCTGTTCCTTCCTCTGCAAAATAAAAGATGGGAAGTTGGGAAACCATATAGGTCATGTTTGCTCAGGGCTTGGAAGATAAAAATCACTGTCTACACTCTGTGGAGAGGTTCCCCACCTACTCTGGCTGTGTAGGAGGTGTGGGAAGCCAGTGGGTGTCCAGGGCAGAATGTCCCCGCCAGAAGAGCAACGCAGGGCTCCTGCACTTGACCCCGCTTGATGGAAGGCCTGGCACTGTGCAAATGGTCATAACTATCATTCTTTGTATATTTTGGGCTGCGGAGTCGCCCGTGGGTAGTTCACGAGTGCAGCGATAAGGCAGAGCAGCTGCTGGAGCTGCTGTCTCTTGCAGGGAGGGTTAGAACCCCTCAGAGCCCCTTTCGTTCCTGCCCTGCAGGGCTGCGGCACTCTGTCCAGGTCTCCCAGGGAAGTACAGAACAATCACTTCCATTCTAAATTTGTTGTTGTTTGCTTGTCTATATTGAGCTCCAGAAAAGGTCGCTTTGCCCCTTCCTCCCAAATTAGACTCAGAATCCATGGCATCACGGTATTTATTTGATTTCTGCGGGGAGGGCTTCTGCAGCACATCCAAGGATGCAGCCTGGCTCTTCCCATTCATCAGAAAGTAAACCACTTGCTGGAAGTCTGATGCGGCCCTCTTGCTATACTTACATGTTGCAGTTTTCAATAGCTCTGCCACAATCATGACTGAAAAACTTGTGAAACTGGAAGCTTCCCTAGGCTAGATCAGATATCTCACCGATGTTCCTGAGCCAACAAGCTACATAATGTAATTTGATGTGGCTGGGTGCCAATAGAAGGTCTACAGGCAATGTGTAGACAAGAGACAAGTGCGGCTGTCAGGGTTCCCACTGCACAGTGGTGCTGGTTTGGGCCTGCAACTGGGAGTAAATGTGCCCCGTGCTGTTGTTCCCAGCTGATTTCCCTTTCCTTCTCCCCCTTCTCCCTATGAAGCTGGGAATTCCTGTTGCCCAGGAGCACCCACAGGTACCCAGCTTGCTTCCATCAAATCATGTCACCCTGGCATCGTACTTGAGCTGCTGAGGAATCACTGACAGCTCCAAAGGCACAGCTGCCCTGCCAGGCTACAAGTACAAACACTCCTAATGAACCCGTATGGGGGAAACATTGTTAAAGTTAAATTGTTCTGTGAAATACTTTTTGAGATGTAAACATTAAGCATTAAGGGAACATTTAGCTGTCTTTTTCTATATACCTTTATATGCCCGAGAGTTTCAACCTCATGTCAGTGCTTTTACAGAAGCTGATGATATATTTGCTAAGATGGACAACGAATGCGACTTTGAGTAAGTCATCTCTAAGCTGTAAAGACAAAGAAAATACTGTATAGTGTAAGAAGTGTTATGAAAAGTCCTTTGCTTTCGTTTTATTACACGCTTATTTTTAATTTTCTTCCATTTCAGGTTTTGGATGAAAAACTAATTTTTGTGAAAGTGCATGCACCTTGGGAAGTGCTGTGCACATACGCCGAGGTTATGCACATCAAATTGCCTCTGCAACCCAGTGACCTGAAAACCCGAGACTCAGCTTTCAACTGGTTTAGTAGACTCTTCAGAGTGGATGAAAATATCATCAAACCTGAGCAAGAGTTTTTCACTGCCCCTTTTCAAAAAGAACATTTGTCCAACTTTTATATTCAAGACAAAGACACATTTTTCAATCCTGCAACTAGAAGCCGAATTGTGAGTCCATGGAGTGTTTCTGGCATTTCTTCTCAAAAAGAAAAGATTCCTTTAATCATATCGGTGCAATTGCCTTCATGACAGCGTACTGAAAAATTAGAAATATTTGGGACACAATAGTTCTGTGTCATTTATGAAACAGCGTGGACAATCCAGAAGGGAAACATTCCTTACATTTGTCCCATTTCTCTTCCTCCTGAATTTAAAGGAGGGATTTGAATGGTTCATATACCCTGTGCAAATAATTTTGTCTGCACTTGTTACCCTGTCCTAACTCAATTATATGCTGAAACGGGTATAGTTGTGTGTGATTACTTTCAGATTGCAAGAGACACAAAAGTATTTTATAAATTTCAGGTTCATTTTATCCTGTCCCGTGTGGAATACGCAACCAAAAACAATGTGAAAAAATTTGGCATAAACAAATTACTGGACACTGGAATCTACAAAGCGGCATTTCCCCTTCATGACGTAAGTCCAGTGCTTGTAAACTAAAATACATTTCAAAATAGAGGTCTGAACTACATCTGTGGGGTTTCTGTCAAAACTTACAAGCACTATTGAATGTCTTACTCCTTGACTTGTTATCATATCCACCTAGTAGAATAGGACATAGTTTGGCTAAAGAGATTTTCTTCCAAAGCACTGCTGGTTAAAAATGTAGCTCCATAACTGAAAAACAATATATTTCATTTAGGAGGTGTTAACCTTGTATTCTCTGGGAGATGTAGTTCAGTAAAGTGCCTGGCCTGAGGGATAGTTGCCATGACACACCGTATCGTCAGTTCTAAATCAATTTTAACATTGTCTCTGTTTTTTATTATTCAATTTTTCAGTATTAAAATTCATATCAAATATCAACATTGTTAATAAAGATGTAGACTACAAATCCCATCTTAAGATGCAGGACAGCCTCACACAGTGAGGAACGTTCCCACGGTTCCCAAACATTGCAACGTACGTGCAGGGAAACTCAGGTTTCTGCAGGAAGGCTCTGTCTGGCCAGTCCAACACCACACAGGTGATGTCAGAGTCATGTGGAGAAAAGCTCAACTGGGTTGAATTTTGCCTCGCAATAATAATAAAACCAGCTTTTGTGACTACACTTCAGAAGCTTTTTATTTTTAAAGTATATCAAGCAAGTTATCTGAAAATTGTTTTGCATACAAAGGCCAGGAATAGCACAGAAAAAGAAAATGAAGAAAAAAAAATCAGATTTCAGAGTATTCCATGTAAGGCCACAAATGGGATACAGTAAGCAAAGACTGAGGGCTGATTTTCTCCATTATATCTATTATATACTCACACCTCCTCCCTCATCAGAGCCACCTTCTGTGTCCAAGGTGTGTTCTGTTGAGAAGACAGAGAGAACATGGGAGGTCAGGAATGGTAACTGCTTCGGCTGTTTGGACTCTGCTTAAAATATTCAGCAAGCCTCCAAGGGTTTCAAGGAAATCTTTAAGGCAGGATCAAGACAAATCATGTTTCTTGTAAGTAACCTAAAGCTTTACAGGATAGAATTACTATCATTCGTGACTATCCATTTTTAAGGTTTCCTTTTAAAGATTTAAAACCTGCCTTGGAGGCTATTTCTGTCATGGCATGGGGAGTTTGGACTCAGTATGCCTAGTAATTAATGACTGTCTTTTTATACAATTAAAATTATATATCACAGCTATTCTGAAAATCAAAAGTAGCCTATAGATTTCTACAAATGTCACTTGCCTCATTGCATCACAGATACAGAATGGAAAATTCCCTCAAATGAAATAAGCTTTATTGAAACAGGTTTTCAAATAACCTAGAAAAACCACAAGGATTATCTCCATGTGAACTCTCTTTTAAATTTAAAACAGAGACTAGAAGCCCTGGATTTATCTCGCAGACTTTCCAGCCTTCATTCCAGCACAATATTATTTTGAAGCAAAGCATGTTAGCACGTTAGAGCTACTTAAAATCCATTTTAATTCGGTCCCGTTCTCTAATTAGAATGGATCCTTTTCTGTTTTCTGTTCCTAAGTGCCAAGACGCTGACATGCGCTTGGATTTTTTCAGCTCACATATGTAAAGCGTTTGCTTTAGCGTTCGGTGCTTTTCTGATAACCTTCTCCCCTGAATCCTGGTGCACTCCCAGAGCTGCCTTCCTGCTGCTTTTCCTGGCTTGACGTGAGACTGGGCTAAAAGGCTATTCCAGGCTCCGGCTTCACGGCACAGAGTCTGCAGAGATGAGAGCTGATCTGTGCTGCTTGGGTTAATGCTATCTTCTTCTCACCCTCTTTCTGTTTTGCAGTCTAGTTTTAGGCACCCGTCGACCGATCCCGACTGCCCAAGCGAACGCTATCTTCTCTACAGAGAATGGGCTCATCCTAAAAACATTTTCAAACTGCAGCCCCTGGATTTCATCAGGTTGGTGTGACCTGGGGCTGGACGCATGCCGAGGGAACTGGGAATTTGCATAATAGGTCTGGTTTTGGGGATGTCAGAGAGACACAGCTCACGTCTGAGGACAGATACACCCATATCAGCTCATGCGTGGGAGCATACTTTGAGCTTGGGTTCATGATAAGCAAATTCATGAAAAGGCAACCACTTAAAATTTTTCTTTGTGAGGTATGATCTTTCTCTTCACCCCCCACCCCCCCCTTCCTATCCTTTTATAAAAGCATAAAAGTGGTGGTAGAAATACCTAGCTGCAATACTTCTGCAATCCCAAAGTTCAAACCAGAGGAATTTGACAATAGGAGTTGGCACAAAATGTATTACATGAAGAGCCATTTGAAAAGGAAATGTGATTTTACTTGCATTTCAGAAAAAACACCTTTTCCCCTCCACAGGAAATACTATGGAGAGAAAATTGGAATCTACTTTGCTTGGCTGGGCTTTTACACTAACATGCTGATTGTCGCTGCGGTTGTGGGAGTTGGCTGTTTTCTGTATGGATGCCTGACAAAGGACAACTGCACATGGAGGTACCTGATCGGACCTATTTTAATATCACGTGCAATTTTGATCAGTCCCCTACAGAGGGGAACTGTACAAGGTTTGCAAGACACTACATCATAAAAAGGGCAAAATGAAAGGGCCTGAGAACAGCAATGGTTGTGGATTTGAAGGTAAAGGCATAAAATATGAGATACGAAGAGTAATGGATGTCCATGGACCATTACAGTGGTAGACATCTGAGAGTTTGTTATTTCATCATTTTATTTACATTTTGTACTAGGTTCATCGCACCTAGTGTGTAGAAAAGGGTGACAATCAGAAATCAGTACAAATTGCCGTAGATGGCACTGTGGTAGTCCTTACAGGAGATATCCGAAGACCTTGATAAACCCCCCCAAATTTCTTTCCTCTATTTTGAGAGAATAATACAGGAAGAGCAACAGCACAGGGGGCTTCAGCTGCCCGCGATACGTTGGGAGGAGAGGCATACCCATGACACAGATTCCCTCATCAGAACATGACGAAATTCAACCATGGCACAATGACCCAAGAAAAAAAAAACAACTGGGTCATTGTGCCAAATCGTCTACAGGCCATCACACCGTATACCCCCTTCTGGAAGGATGCTTATCTTTATAAAACGTGCTGAAGGGCTGTGCCAGAGCTTCACTCCTGTGGCCAATTTATACCCGTTTTAGCCTTATGCCAGTTTTATCATTTAGTTAAATAGTTCATCTCCCTCCCTGGTGTTTATCTCACTGGTGTTATTTATCAAATCACCTTTCAGCCTCCACCGTACTAGGTTAGTACGTAACGGTTAGACGGCAAGTCTTTTGCTATCCCTTGATATGACAGATCTGCCATTCCTTGACTCACCCTAGCAGCCCCCCTCTGCACATTTTCCAATCTGATCCTCTTTAGAAGACCACAGGGACTAGGTAGCCATTTCGGTTCTGCAGCTGTTCCTTGCTCTGGTAGTCAGTGTTCCTCTTCCTTCTCCCCTCGGACTTGCTATGGTAGCACATGTGAGCATGCAAGTGTGGGTTTCCTACTGGAGAGTGTGAGATGCTTGAAGAGTTGTTTTATTTTTCATATGAGCAGTTTTGAGAATTGCCACCATGTACGAGGGATGGAAATTATTTCCCTCCTATGTCATCCATTTTTGAGATGAGGGCTAAGAATGGAAATGGGGATGTGTTGCCGGGGAGGGGAGGGAATTCTTGAGAGCAGAACACTGGTAAATTATTTCTCAGTTCCCTGAGATTATTGCACTGTACTCATGTGCGAAAAAGGACTAAAGAATTTAGTGTTGGTGAGTGACTGACTAGTTTTGTTTTTAGCCAAGAAGTATGTGATCCCAACATAGGAGGTAATATCATAATGTGCCCTCAGTGTGATAAAGTATGTACCTACTGGAACCTCACCATCACTTGTGAATCGTCCAAGGTAACTACATTTACAGCTTATAGACATGCTATTGAACTTTACTTGCACTTTCTCTAGTACTACATATAAAACAGTGTTGTTCCTCCACTAATGTCCTGCAGAATTGCTAGAACTGTGCAAATAGTTGTTCCTTTTGATATAGCGACTGAACTTTGCAAAGTGAAAACAACAAGGTTTATTGCTCCAATTTGATATAAGATGAAAAAAATTGTGGTTTTTTTCCGCATAGTTTTTTATTTCACATATTTGATACAGGACTAAAGTGGGGTTTCTTTAATGAAAATGAAACACTTTGGTTTCATTTGAGGGTACTTCTTCCTTTTTTGGGGGAAAAAAAAAAAGATCCAATTGCTAAAGTCTTGATTCAGTAGCTCTGAATCAGTTATGCTAAGGAAATGTTTAAAGCATGTTTTGACATTTCTAAGTCCTGCCCCCTGCCTCCACAAAGAAGTTATCTGGACCTGTGCCTTGAATTTGACCCGTGTTGTCAAAGGGGAGATGGGTGCAAGGAGAGGCTGATGCTGGCCGTGACGGAAGCTGTGACACAGCCGTGTCCTGTTCGTCGTGACACAGCCAGACTCTTGCTCTGAGTTCCTGTCTAGAGGAACTTTGCTTTCTTTCTCCGTCACCTTGTCTCACTAGGCTAATCTTAGCCTTTTGTCATTCCTTTCCATAGATTCGGTCACTCCCAAAACTCAATTTTTCAGCTATTCATCAAAAATATTTTGCCCAGCTTTGATGTGTTACATCAGCACACTTAAAGGGTAAACAAATAAGAGTACAGGGAAAAGGCTATGATGAAAAGAAAAGGCAAATTGTGACCACAGAGGTATCTCATCAGAATGTGTTTTTACTAACCAGCTTGATTTGTTGTCATCCTGCTCATGAGAACCAGATGTGTCCAATGGCCTTTTTGTGGCTGTATTAAAAATACAACTCTATACTGAGTTCCCAGAGCAGAAACAGTTTTTCCTCTTCCTATGCAACAGATGGAAGGAAGTTTGGTAGTACACTGGTTTACTACCCTCTTGCTGCATATTTGGCTTATAGCTTTAATTCTGGGCTTTGCATTTAATTTCCTTAATTTACTGGAGGGTGGTGTACATTGACAGAAATTGAGGAAACACTATCAATAAAGATTGTTTATTAAACCACATAAAAGCTAAAAATCAACATGATCAGTAAGCAGCTTCTGTTCTGGGTCAGTGTAGAAGAGAAAAAATGGTTGATTATATTTTAAGCCTTTTTTTTCTTTTCCATTTTTCCAGAAACTCTGCATATTTGATAGCTTTGGAACACTGGTGTTTGCAGTGTTTATGGGAATATGGGGTAAGTCGATTTCAACAACGGTGGTTTGTCGTCTAATTTTGGCCAAGCCTCCAGCATCAGCCAAGAAAACATGGATAAATTTGCAACGACTTCATTTTCTAGCACTCAGGAATTCACTAGTAGGTAGTTCCATAGAAGATATGTACATTCACAGGAGCTCTTTTTTAGCATATTAAGAAAGAAAAAAAATTGTAGAACTCCAAGTTGGTCTTCAGTGTCTGTTTGGTTTTGTTTAACTTGGAGAAAAGTCTGAGAGAAGTGATTAGAGCTGCCTCATTCATCCAGTGGGAGCCAGCCACATGCTTAAGTATATCTGGCAGAGGAGCTGGGTTTTTTTTTCCAGAGAGTTTTGGAGCTGCCTGTGCCTATTAACAGCTGTGTGACTGCGCAAGACAATTGAAAAATAGCCATTTATTATATTTCCCAGGAATTTTTTCCTTCTGTCTTCATTTAAGAAACTGATTATAAAAAGCATAGTAGTTACAAGCACTATATTTATCTTTCAGAAGAGAAGTTGTAACTGAAACCAGGATGTTTCCCATGGGTGAAACCACTTGGTGCTGTATTTAAGGGATTAGGCAAGGTTTATTTTCCCAGAAACAGTTTTGTTTGTTCGTATTAGCAACTTTCTTAACCAGCTTGTATTGTACTTTCTTATCCAGAAATTACCAAAAGAAGTTATATGTTAGGTCTGTATACAGAGTACTGTAGAGAAAATAATTCATGTAGCACTTTGAATTCATTACAAGAATATATGATTTGTTTTCTTTTTAAAACATTGTATTTTTATTTTCCTATGATGACCTAAAGCACTTCAGAATAGCTATTGCTTTAGAGAGTTATAAGATAAAACATTTTAAAAAGAAGATTTCTTTCAAAATGTATGTTCAAATTAAAATACCATCAGGAAATTCTCTAAATAAATAAAAAAAAGAAAAAGTTAGAAGTTTGATACTAATGTAATCATCTCCTGTCATCTGAATAGTTAATTTATTTGCAATTTGCTTTTTAATTAAAAATTGTGTTTCCTGTTTTGAAGAATGGTTCCAAGAGTAATAATTACAAAGTTAAGCTGCATGGTTATAGTGGGCTACAAGGTCTATTAGTATTCTTATCATAAGTCCGCTATACAAAGAGGTGAATTGTATTATGGAAATTCAGTCAAAATTGTACTGAATCCAAATGACCCATGGTTCTGCTACAATTCCAGCTGTAATTTTCATCTTGCTCTAATACTTTTGTAGACCTCCTGGTCCAAAACAATTAAAAGATTATTAGATTTTTAGATATATTATTGCATCATTATCAGCAATATACTTTTTAATAATTGCATATTTTTTTAGTATATTCCCTTCAAAGATCTCAAAGCACTATAAAACACCAGGGAATTTGGCCTCAGGAATTAACCTTCTATACGTTAATGCTCTGGACCAACTCTTCAACCACTTCTCCCGCGATGGCATGACTAAATTGGCGAAGCTCCTAAAGCAGCAGCTTCCACTTCACTTGCTGCCATCACTGGATCCCCTCCCTGAACAAGATCAGTTAAACAAACAGATGTTCTCCAATAGAGGCATTTCTTTTCAGTCCTTGGTGACACAGTTTCAGGGGCAGAATACCTGCTCCATGCTGAACGGCAGCTTTGAGGGACACATGAAAGGGGACACCACAAATTACCAATGTGAGGTGGAATTAGTGCTCAGATCTCCTGATTCTGAAACTTCATTTGTTTCCACTGTTAAAAAAAACCCCACTGGTTCAAAATAAAAGGAAAATGACAAATCCAGCAGCAGCTCCTTCCTGCTCTGAAAGACGCGACTTGGTTGCTGGCTTATTTTAGTGAGTAGAAGTTTTCTTTGTATTGGGGCTGAGAGAGCTGTCCCCACGTTATGTGCCCTGCTTGTGCTGTTAGCACAGAGGCTGTCACTGAAGGAGGTCCTGCACCTCTTGACTCCCCAGCAGCAGCTGGATTTGCAGCTGGAGCAAATCTGGGTAGCCTGTAGCTTCCTGTGATTTGGGTTGGGGCCCCAACCAGCAGTTAGAGATTCATGGAAGACTAACCTCCTTGCTCTGCAGGAGAAGGCAGATGTGATCCTCTGGCCCACTGCTTGGAATGGCTTTTGTGCTCCTAAGCATGAAGCAGCGGAGAAGTCCTTGTGAAAGAGGCCCCTGAACAATGCAGGGAGGAGGGTTTCCTGGGGGTTTGCCTGTGTGCAGACACCAAGGTCATCTCACAGCCCAGCCCATGGAGTTTCCTGGGTTTTAAATGCTTTGGTTTGGGGTTTATTGACCACACCTGCTTTTGGAAATAACCTTTAATGTTTGGACTTGGAACTGCATGCCATCGATGTTTCATCAGTCAGGATGAGGGGCCAAACTAATTAAAGAAAAGTCATTTATGGTCAATTACTCCCAGACAATGGGAATAATGAGAGCAGTGATGGGATACTGACTCCTCCTGGAGGCAGTGCTTGCAGAGCCACACCACTCATTTAAACTGAGGATGAACTGTCTTCAGTAATAAAACATTAGGGTGCACTGGGGAGCCTGGTACTGACACCCATCATCCTGAGTTCCTCCCAGGCTCCTCAGCTGGGTCTGTCGTTGCCTCTGCTGCCAGATCTACCTGCGTCACATCTCAGGCCAAGGTAATGAGTTTGGCTGGATCCACGTCTCACCAGTACCGCGTAGGCATCTGTGCACCTGGTCCTCCAGTGCTTCCAGTTGTAGGAGCACAGTCCAGGGGAACTGCTGACCCAGCCCAGGGAGTTTCTAAGCTCCGGGGCATGCAAAAAGAGCTGCAGCTCCTTCAGATTCATGCTAGCAGAGGAGGAAAGACAGCTGTGTTTCAGCCACTTTACCTGAACTAGCATTGATTCTAGTATTCTGCAGACTGGCAACTTGTCCACACAAAAACTGCAGACTGAATGAACACGAGCTTTTCCCTGCGGCAATTTTTGCATACTGTGTTTTCCTTTTCTAGAGGTCCTGCACTCTCCAGCATTTTTTCTTCGCCTGTCCGACCAACTTGCTCTCTTACGCATCCCATGGTAAACTTTTGAAAAAGTAGCCTATAGTATGAAATCCAAAGTGCTCATACTCCAGCCTTAGGCAGAAAACAAATAAATTTATCTGTATTCTTTAGCACGTGCTTACACCACGCTTTACCTCAGATTTCTCTTATTGAAGTATCTATATATCCAAAGCAATAATTGCATAAAGAAGTAGATCCAGTTATTTTCACCATCACAGTATCTAATAAGGGCTTTATTCCATGTCTGTGGGAATCCGTATGGAAAACATGAGCCACATGTTATAGCCCAAGGCGCCAGGCAGTGTCCAGCACTCACATGGTATCGGTCCCTTTGTTTATCTTCTGGATAGTTACTTTGTTTTTGGAGTTTTGGAAGCGACGGCAAGCTGAACTGGAGTATGAATGGGACACAGTTGAGTACTTAGAGCAAGAAGAACAAGTTCGCCCAGAATATGAAGCTCGATGCACTCACGTAGTAATGAACGAAATCACACAGGTAAGGAATATTCTGATAACTGGTGATGGCTATTGCAGTAGGCACATGGTGGGAGGACACTGTGGAAATGGTGAATCTGCACTGGGGCTGTATAAGTCAGCAGTGCTTCAAGGAGAGCCGATAAGCTGGCCTGGAAATAGTTAACTTATAAAGTACAGATGCGTGGGAGGGAATATATACCCAGCTGTAGTCACCTTAAAGTAATTGCCTGTTTGAGGAGCTTGCACTGCCGAGGTTCCTGTGTCATAAATAAACAGAAGTAGGCATCGTCCCCAGCTTAGGAGACTAAGTCTACTTTATTAAATCCCCCAAGAAATGATTCAGTGTTGCTGCCAGAGGCCAAGATCACAGAGCATTTGCTATCTTTGCCTAAGAATGCATCAGCAAAAAAGGGTGAAATAGAGGGGAAGATGTTACCTTATATATCACGCCAAGACTGTTTTTTTAACCAAAGGTTTTTCTGTTTGAAACATGTATGAATAGGTATTGTTGCTAAGTGCATGTGGATGCAGTTACGATCAATAACAGCAAACTCACAGGGACAAGGGTAATCCTTGTTTCAATGAAATAGGATTCGTATTTATGAGGATCGTACTTTAGATCTCTATTTATTATACATTTTGAGTAGCTTTAGCTTCTGTAGCTCACTCCAGCTTAGCTTCACTTTTTATTATTCTCTGTCAATATATTACTCTGGTATTTATCTGATCATTTGCATTGCTTTCACATTCCATCCACATTACACTGATATTTATTAGAGGGCACTTGAAAAGTTTAAAAATTAACTGCCATAGTTGAAACTGTGCTATATAGATCTTTTTATATCTTGTACTACAAAAAAAAATGGTTCTTTTTAAAAGCTTATAAACCTCTGCCATCTTTAAGGTATAAAGTCATAGCGAGAAAGTTCCTTTCAGACAGTTCAAAGAGTGAAGAATATGCAAAAACATAATGATTTTGGTCCTCAAAGATCCTATAAAGTCTCATTGAATTTTCACATATTGAGGTAGGCATTTTCCTTGGGAAAGCCATCCCATTGTTCCTATGGGGTAAATTGAGGAATACGGAGATCAGGAACCAAAAGTTTAGTGCCAGCTAATTTTAGCCAAGGAGGTTTGAAAGATAATGACTGTGGATGCCATGATCAGACAAGAAGGATGGGTCCATTGAAAAAGACTATGCACCCTGTCACTGCTGAAGTCAGTAAGACCTGAGTGGAAGCATCTATGGAAGTCTTTTGTATCTTAGAATGGGCAGCAAAAAAAAAAAATAAAAAAAGACACATGTAATCAGACAAGACTTTTGAAATCATTAATAAATGTGAGTTTCCAGGGCAACAAAGCAGGAAAGGAAACAAAACCGGAGAATTCTTCCTTTTTTTTCTGCCCTCAATATCATAAATTGCAGCACCCAAAAATATGAAGAAAAGATTGGGTGCATCCTTGATCTGTTTCTAAATCTTTTACAGCAAGAAGAACATGTGCCATACACTGCCTGTGGGAAGTGCCTAAGGATGACTTTCTGTACAAGTGCAATCTTCTTCTGGGTAAGTGCTTCTCTTATTCTTTCACCTCATGAATTCACTTCTCTAGAAAGTGTATAAAAAAGGGATTCTCCTGAACTGAAGAAAAGGTAACAAAAGAACAGATTCAGTTGGATTTCCATCTTATGCATAAACCAAGCCCATTAAGCTATGGACCCACATGGAGAAGGTAGCTGTAGTCACCAAATACTCATTAGTGTACAGTCAGTTGAAAATATGTCAAAATATCCTGCAGCTGTCGCTTGTGAGTTATGCTTGTGAACGTGGTCCATTGGTTTTTCCTTGATTATTTTAAGATAAATATCTTTGCTTTTGGGGCAGAGAGCAGGGGAAAGACTTTGGTTTATGTACTCCCCTCCCTGCCAGTTTCTATCCTACTTGTTCCAGCCGTTTGCTTCAATATCGTCTCACAGTCCTGGGCCTCTTTCAGGTTTTTCGTTTCACTTAACAGAGCAAAGCTGGGTGCTCTCTAATCTTCCAGTGCCGCTGCTTTAATTACAACTAAAATGTGAAAGCAGCCCAGTCACCCATGAAACAATATCTAACATGGCGAGCATGCCCAGAGAGGTCACCTTGAAAAGCTCAGTGTTTTAGCATGCTGCATGTCCTCCTCGCCTGTAGCACAAACTGCAGCTGGAAAAGACCTCATCCTAGGTGACAGGACACAGCCAGGAGATGGAGTGGTGGCTGGCAGCCCAGAAGAGGCTAAATGTTACCGCATCTGAAAGACAAGGGAAAGAATACTGGCTTGCTGTTGGATTTAAATAGGCAGGACTTCGGGTTGAAGGGAACAGATTTGGTCTGGGTTTGTCTTTGGTGTTGCTGCACTCTCTTATTATGTGCCGGGAGCGGGGAGGTAGGTGGATTCATGGCAGTTTGCAGAGATAATGAAAAAAAAAAGATTCACAGCTCTATGGACGTCAGTCTGAATAATAGCTAGAAAACCAGCAAGAAATAAAAGCAGGAAGAGAAGCAGAAAGAGAGGAGATGGCAAGCAAGATGGGGTGCATGTATCATTATTACAATTCCAGCACATTACATAACTTGGCTTAAAATTTGTCTGTTCCTTTGAGGGGTCTGTAGCCTGTAATATTACCATGTGAAAGAGAAGGTACAGTCCCCTCCATAACCAATGCGGACTTGCTGGTGCATTTGCCATCCTGCCAATTGCCCACTGTCAAAAGAGGGAGATTTCTTCCATCACATGCCTCGAGGTGTAAGATTTGATTATGCATCTAATTATCTTTGTTCGCATCAGTACAAACCTTGTTATTAGTCATAAACCAGATTATCTCTTTTCTTTCCTGCAGATTGACTATGCTGCATGAAAAAAAAGTCGTCTTTTATGGATTCTAAATTTATTGCCTTCTATCTTATTTGAGCATCCCCTTGCACTCATCTTACATGATGGAATGACAGGCACACAATCGGTTTCCTCTTGCCTATTGTAAAAAGTATTTCAAACTCACTTTTTCCCAAAGCCAGTGGTTCAATATTAACATCTTTCTTGCGTTCCCTTGGCAGATTCTTTTGATTATTGCTTCAGTTATTGGAATCATTGTCTACAGGCTCTCAGTTTTCCTGGTGTTTTCTGCAACGTTGTCACAGCACATTAACGGAACGGAGGCGATCCGCAAGTACCTGACTCCACAGACAGCCACTTCAGTAACTGCTTCGCTCATCAGCTTTATAGTCATTATGGTTCTCAACATCATCTATGAAAAAGTGGCAATCCTGATTACTGACTTTGGTATGCCGCTGCTGTACCTCACATAGAAACTTGGGGTAACATAGCAAGAAAAAGTGTCATTTGTGTGTATAATAAGAATTCCAATAAATGGACACCTGTACCATATATTTCAGAATTTTCCCACCAAATCACACAACACCACCCAGAAACTTTCAAATACAGGTTTTCTCAATATCAAAGCAATATGATATTCAGCTTGCTCTGCCTGGAAACTCCTTGTATAGCCAGCATGAAAGATCAATTGTTTACAGTTTTGTGTTTGTGAAACAGGCAAAGCAAAGAAAATTACTATAATAACCAAGCTTTATGAAAACAGATCAGTAACGCATAACACATTCAATTACATTAGCTTTTGTTTATGGGAAAAATAGCTATTTTCTTGTAAATAAATGAAATAAGGTCACTTTTTCAAAGCTTGATACCATTTCCATGTTATTAAATAGATAAACAGTTGCAAATATTATTATTCTTTATATCCAGGCCATCAACATTAAAGTAGCTATTTTACTTTAGATGTGTGAAGTAGTGCGGTGTTTTAATATAGTTTCATTTAATACTGTTTCATCAGTTCAAAGTGTTACATTTGCATCTTTCCTGAGTGTGCTGGATTTGGGTGCTTTTTTTTTCCCCTGAGTTATCAGAATTTTTGCTTGTTCTTTTTTTTTATTGTCAGGGAAAAAGTTCTTTCCTTTTTACAACCCGTATAGTTTTAGAATTAGCATAATGGTTATAGTGTACATGGGGATTATGTACAATCTAATTCATAATGCTCTCAGTCATGTTAAGGAATACAAGGCATACCCGTACTTTTCCAGCTGAGGTTCTAAAGCAGCTTGTAGGTTACTTGTAGGTTGGCACTTTTTTAATTTATTTTTTTTTTAATTGCAGAGCTTCCAAGGACACAGACAGATTATGAAAACAGTCTGACAACAAAGATGTTCTTGTTCCAGTTTGTCAACTACTATTCTTCATGCTTCTACATAGCTTTCTTTAAGGGTAAATTTGTAGGTCACCCTGGAAATCCAGTTTATTGGCTAGGAAAGTATCGCAACGAAGAGGTAAGAATGTATGATAGTGTTTGGTTTTAAGCAGCAGGAGCCATTAGTCCAGGTATTCTGCTGCAGTTAGGAGTATATAGCATCGTTGGGCATATTTAAGTTGAGGGTTCAAAAAGTGACTGCCTGCCAAGCCAATCGCCTCCTTAGTAACTGCTAGCATAAAAGAATATGACACAAGACCAGTTGGGCTTAGAAATGCATTATGCGTACCCAGACAAGCTTATTTTCCCATGGTCCGACAATCTGTGAATTGGCACACAGGAAGGGGAGAACATCAGTAGAAGGATTCCTATTCTGCTGGGTTACCCTCACCTGGTGACTGCACAGTACAGAGCTGCATGACTTCACCTGGTATGGCACTCTTTCACTGGTGTCTTGTCAACCTATCATATGTGACCACATTACTAGAATTGGCTTTTGCATACCTGACTGGAAAGTTTTGCCTAAATAGTCTTCTTGTATTGCTTTGAGAAATGTTATCATCATAAACCAGGAATGCATTATTTTCAATGCTTCATTCATGCCTGAAACATTACCCAACTTCAAAAACATTTCATGTCTCTCCCAACCTTCAGTGTGATCCAGGCGGATGTCTCCTTGAACTCACAACTCAGCTTGCCATCATAGTAGGAGGTAAAGCAATCTGGAACAACATTCAAGAAGTGCTTCTTCCGTAAGTTCAAACTATTAAATAATCTGCTCTTTCATATTTGAAAGATACTGCTTTTGCTTGATGCGTTCAGGCATTTGGACACTAAATTTGATAAGTGCATATTGCATTCTAAAAGAATACAGCTAGTCTTTTGGGGCCTTTTTAGACAGTTTGGATATTTTCGGTCTGGTAGCTCTGAGCTCCTGTCTCTGTCGTTCTGACTGATTTTAGTTCTAATCAGAAATGCTTCCTTCCTCTGCAAATCAGACTCAATGTGTTTCAGGTTGGATATTTAAAACTGAGGCAACAGAAGCTCTGAAAGTATTAAACTAAAGACTTGCTTAATACTGAGTGGAATGATTTGTTGTTAGACATTGGGCTTTTAAAAGTCATGGATAAGTTACTAAGTTAACTCATTTAGTTTTACAGTCATATTTGACATTCATAGTGCCTATACATTCTCTTTCAGTGGGGCAGATCTCTGGAAGGTCATGTTTTAATGTAAACAATAAGCACAGTGCTAACCACGCATGCCCTCCATTTCATTTAGGTTCATATACTGTGCAGGACTCTGTTCTTTCTCCCAGGACTTGTTCTTTATTATGCTAATCAGTGGCTGTTATGTTGCTTAGAGTAGGGAACTCCCAGTTTGCTCATGCCCTCCTGAATGCCATAAGCACCAGCCCACAGCATTGTATACCCTCTGACTGTGGTTCCTCCAAGCCCATGAATTGTGCACCTTTACTGCACAGTGACCGCACTTCAAAGCGTGTTATAAATACTGTGTAGGGTTGAGACTAGGGTGCTCTGCTGAGATAAGGTTCCTCCAGACCCCAATGCTCTGTGTGTGCTGCTGGTTGCAGGATGGACCTGTAGACCCATCCTTCTTTTCAACCTCTTCTTTTTCCTGGGGAAGGTTTCCTAGACTGAACATGCCTGGAGACGTCAGCTCCAGCCATAGACAACTGACTCCCCCTTCTGTGTACTGGAAATATATTCATCTGACCAGAATTTTTAATTCACTTCCCAGAGTGACAAGTAACATTTAGGTGTTGAAATGCTGAGTATCATTTCTGGGTCTGGTTCTTAAATGCTTTCTCATTCTGCATCTCTGCAAGTGTAAACCATTTTGGGTTTTTCTCTGTTGATAGGCATTCGCCCCCATCCCTCTTTTTTTTTTAATATGGTTCTTTGACTGCTGAAAATGGCTACAGCCAATTCATCAGTTTTCTTAAATTCTCATGCAAGCCTTTTGGATGAGAATATCAGCCTCACCTTGATCCCTGGGAAGGTGAAGGAGCAGCTAATCCTGGAAACCATTTCCGGGCATATGAAGGACCAGAAAGTCATCAGGAGTAGTCAGCATGGATTCACCATGGGGAAGCCATGGTTGACCAACCTGCTAACCTTCTAAGATTAAATGACTGGCTCAGTATATGAGGGGAGAGCAGTGGATATTGTCTACCTGGACTTCAGTAAGGCTGCTGACATTGTCTTCCATAAAAGCCTCATACAGAAGCTGTTGAAGTATGGGCTGCATGAGCAGACAGTGAGGTGGACTGAACACTGGCTGAATGGCCAGGCCCAGAGGGTGGTGATCAGTGGCATGAAGTCTAGTTGGAGGCTCGTCACTAGCAGTGTACCCCAGGGATCACTGCTGGGTCCCATCCTGTTTCACATCTTCATTAATGATCTGGATGAGGGGGCAGAATGCACCCTCAGCAAGTTTGCTGATAACACCAATCTGGTAAGTCAGAGGGTTGTGCTACTGCCCAGAGGGACCTTGACAGGCTGGAGAAATGGGCTGACAAAAATCTCATGGAATTCAACAACAGAAAGGTCAAAGTCCTGCACCTGGGGGAGAACTATCCCATACATCAGTATATGCTGGGGGCCGCTCAGCTGGAAAGCAGCTTGGCAGAAAAGGGACTGGGGGTCCTGGTGGACACCCAAGTTGAACTTGAGCCAGCAGTGTGTCCTTATAGCAAAGAAGGCTAATGGTATCTTCAACTGCATTAGGAGGAGCATTTCCAGCAGGTTGAGGGAGGTGATCCTTCCCCTCTACTCAGCACTAAGGAGGCCACATCTGGCGTACTGTGTCCAGTTTTGGGCCCACCAGTACAAGAGAGACATGGACATACTGAAGAAAGTCCAGCAGAGGGCCACAAGGATGATTAAGGAACTGGAGCACCTCACATATGAGGAGAGGCTGAAAGAGCTGGTACTGATCAGCCTGGAATAGAGAAGGCTCAGGGGGATCTCATCAATGTGTACAAATACTTGAAGGGCAAGAGTAGAGTAGAGGGAGACAGACTAATCTCAGTGACTAGTGTCCAGTGACAGGACCAGAGGCAAAGGGCACAAATTGAAACACAGGAGGTTCCCCCTGAACATTAGAAAACAATTTTTTACTGTAAGAGTGACCAAGTACTGGCACAGGTTGCCCAGGGAAGTTGTGGAGGCTCTATCCTTGGAGATATTCAAAAGCCGTCTGGACATGGTCCTGGACAAACAGCTCTAGGTGGCCCTGCCTGTGCAAGAAAGAGTTGGACCAGATGACCTCCAGAGGTGCCTTCCAACTTCAGCCCTTCCATGATTCTGTTAATTTTGTCAGCAGAAGGAATTAAACTGTCCAACCACAGGCCTGCATTTAACTAGCTTTTTTGTTACCTTGAATTTTATGTGGTCATTCACCTGTATGACATAAGTATAAATCAGTATGATTCTGATATATTACCATTTTACACTCTTATTTATGGTTGTAAATAACTGCTTTCAAGATAAGGCAACAGAAGATTATACTCGTGTTTGAAGGAAGTTTTTAGTAATTCAAGAATAACTAAATCCACTGTTAAAAGCTATAACAGCACGAATGTCAATTTTTTTTCCATTTACTGAACTTTTTAGGTTATTTTACCAATGTTAGTGGTCTTTTTCTCCCTGGCTGATAGTTGGGTTAAGAATCTAATCGGAAGATACTGTGCAGCTGCTAGATCAGAAAAAGTTGTTCCACGCTGGGAACAGGACTACCACTTGCAGCCCATTGGAAAACTTGGACTGTTTTATGAATATCTTGAAATGGGTAAGTAGCAGTTTAGTTGGGGTTCAGTGTCACTGCTGGGTACGAACGTGCTCTAAAGAAAATCTTCATACAAGCAATGCTTAATAAGCGTATAGACAGAGGACATGAATGTTTTTCCAAGGCAAGTTTTGATGAGCCATTATAGACAGTGTTGCAAGTTTTTATTAAAAAGCTACGCCTCAATCCAATTTATAACTAGGAAACAGCTCATGATTGTACAAGGAGAAGAACTGCTACTTCTTTGCCCCATCCTCCGAGAAGTGCATCCAGAAGGCAGACCACTACCACGTTCTGGTGTTGGGCAGCAGAGCCCTGTGTCAGACTAGTCTGATGGGGACCTGAAGTCACCAGGACTTGATGCTGGTCTCTTGAGAGCTGGCAGATTTCCAGTTTGTTGCCACCATCCATTCTGTCACACCATTGCCAGCATACTTGTTCCAGCACCTGGGCACCAGTAAGGTGATTGTTAGTTGAGGCTTTCCAGCACAGCACGGAGACAGATAGTCATTAGATTTCCAAGTCTCCATGATGAAGACATAAGAAAGAAATGGATGTTTAAATACCTACAATAGTTCTCTTGGTGCGTTGTGACTTGTGACATTTTCCTGGCCCCTCCACCTGGCAGGGTTTTTCAGCACTGTTGCGCTCCTGTCTTCTCATACAGAAGATTCGCTAGGAACTCAGCTACTCTTTCTCGTCTGTCTCCCCCACAGTTTGAGTATATAAAGCATATGTGCTCATATGTGCTTATGTCCAGTAAGTGAAAGCCCCATCAATGTATGTAACCTCTCCCTTTCACAGTTATACAATTTGGCTTTGTCACTCTGTTTGTGGCGTCGTTCCCCCTGGCTCCTCTTCTGGCTCTTATTAACAACATGTTGGAAATCCGGTTGGATGCGTGGAAGCTGACGACCCAGTTCAGGCGCATGGTTCCACAGAAGGCACAAGACATCGGCGCCTGGCAGCCCATCATGCAAGGCATAGCCATTCTGGCCGTGGTCACCAACGTAAGTACTGGGCCAACAACTGCAAAAGGTAAAATGCCTTCACTGCAGGTGTTACGTCCAAACGTGGGAACGTCACGTGTGGCGATGTAGCATTTAAATGTAGGAGTTTCTGGAGAAAGCACTTGAGTCTGAAGACCAAAGTTCATCTTAGCCCAAGCTTTCACAGGAGGCTCTGCCTGTTTGGAGAATGGGGGACTTTTTGGGTAAGAGGAGGGAGATGGAGCTGAGCATTCTATCCCATGGCAGGGGGCTTGGAACTAGCTGATCTTTAAGGTCCCTTCCAACCTAAACCATTCTGTGATTCTACGATTGTAGATACTAACCCGATAGTTAGGGGACTTATTTCAAGTAAAAGAGCAAGTAAAATTTAAATAAGGGCATGAGCTTGTTTTCCTATATCTCAGGCACCTTCTATAGTCATTAGGTGTTTGGCTGTTCTGGGGTCTCAACCCAGGGGTTCGGCTTTTCAGAAATAACAGAACAGGTACACGCACCTTCTCTTCCCACACCCAGGTGAGCATCCCTGCATATTTGCCCCCCACTTTGAAAAGTCTTTGTTTTGCCCCTGAAAGGAGGGGGGCCCTGTTTTCAAAGAACAGGAAGATTTGTTTCCATGACCTGACTGCCTATTAGGTTGTCATCTTCTCAGTAGCTTGTTTTCATAATTTTGGGGGCTGGGGATGGTACCATATAGAAACAGGAGTCCAGGGTGGATTTCAGTGATAAGGAAAATTTTATGTGTCAGCCTCAGCTATCAGATGTATTCTCAGGTATTTGAAGGCCTCCCAAAATTACCATTATTCTTGTTCAGAACTTTATTTCGCACTACAGAAAATCAACAGAACTTGAGGATGGAATTTACAAGAGAATCTGGGAAACAGCGAGCTCGAGCATACGCTCCAGCTGTTTTGCACTGCTCTGCTGAGGCAAACCAAACATAAATCCAGCTGTTCCATAGGCATGTGAAACATCCAAGGCCTACTAGTAAATCTGGTGTTAAAATTTAAAACAAAAGCCATGCAACTTTGGTAACACATGTTCAGATTTTTAGAAATATCAGGTGGCACCAGAGATACTTTTGGGCTCTTTTGATTTACTGCTTGTGCAAAAAAAATTGTTAAAGATAACTCTCCCAGCAAATGATGGAAATCCCAGCAGATAATGCAAATTCCCAGATGAAGCATAGCTTCATCTAGCCTAGCTAGAAGTAGAGGCAACATTATTGATGCATCCATATCCTCTTTTGAACTATGCTGCTAGAAAACTTCTAAAATAAAAGACAAAAAAAATTCTGTGTCCCTGGAAGAAAAACAAATATGTTATGGTATTGGATAAGCTAACTGTCTTCCCTCATCAATCCAGCTGGGTCTTGTAATACCACTAAGAAATAAAAAGTTGGATATACATCTTGAGCTTACTTTAAAATACTGTTATGAATACCTTAGTTGTAGTCCTTATGATATTCAGGGCAGAGTTAAAGCGGCTTTGGTGACCTTGTGGTGACTCAGATATGTGTAGGCTTCTGTTAGGAATGGATTCATGCCCCGCTTTCTGCAGAAAAATGACCCAGCAATGCGTGTCTGTCGCTACCCAGTCACAGCCCACCTGAGGCTAATCTGAGCTTTGCAACTTCTTTCACTCCAAATTCCTCCTTGTGTGCTATACCCCTCAAAGCATCGCTGAAACCATGGGAGTCCTCAACGTGCAAAAGTACGTTGACAGCATGCGAGGGGCACAGCACCAGAGACCGTCGTGTTCCAAAGGCCCTGCTGCAGGTGTTGTAAGAACCTCGAAGAGATCAGTGTTTCTTCCTAATGAAGTGTGGGCTATAAAGCCATAAACTAGATCAAATGCTAGAAACTGTTTTCTTCCTTTAAGTATGTTTTTTTCTTGTTTGACATCCAGGATCTAGTATAGGTCATCAGTCTTTCCTTTACCCTCCTTGCCTTGATTTTTCCTTAGTACACAGAAAACATTTCTTCTCTTCTGTGAGACTTGTTACAGCTGATTTGACTTGGGTAGAGTATCATCTTTTCCTTCGTGCATTACCTTTGTAACACCTGCTAGTAGCTTGCAAGCAACTTTTGCACAAGACTATCAGTTTTGTGACTTGCCACTCAGGCACTGGACTTGCCGTTGCATGATACCAAAGCATCTGTTGTTGATTTGAAGACTGATTTTAATTAGTTATGGTATAAATGGAAAACTGTGTGCAGCAAATCTTGGGAAGCAGAGAATGTGCTATTTGTTTGTAGTTCTCCAGTGCAATACCCCAAAATGCAGACCATAATTCAGGAGGAAAAAATGTTTTTCCTTTGAGAGGGTGCCGTAGGATTAGCTTTCGTATTTCTGTCCTTGCAGCTCTCTGGAGCACATCTGGAGATCATTTCGAGAGAGGGAGGAGAGTGGGACGGGGTTCAGATTTAGGATGATGAGAGACCTAGGGCCTTGCAAAAAAATTCAGTAAGAGCAAATATTAGGTTGTGTAGATACCATATTCTAGCATCTTTCTAAATGATACACAGAAGCAGCATCAAACTCATTTGGTCCAAAGGGAGAAGGGATTTTTTTGCCTTACTGTTCAGTTGCTGTTAGTTCATTTATGGTCTGACTAGATGAGCTAATGAACAGAAAGAAATTATATTTAACTAAAACTTTCTGTGCTGTACCTCAGTTAAAAACAGGGTAATTTAGGTGTGAGGTCTTCTCCCTGCAACTGCAAGACATAGTAATATATATTTCTTGTCCGCCAAAAACACCTACTCTGCGTGTAAATATAAACAACACATAATTTTTGCTTCATTGCACACTGGCATCTAACTCTTAAAAACAGTTTTTAAAAGATCGTGCCAACTACACTTGATTCAAGCCAGAGTACAGTACCAAAAAAAAAAAATCGTATCCTTGAAGATTTTAAATGAGTTTATTTTAGTCTTAGGATGCCTCCCTTTTCTTTTTCATCAGCCAAATTAATTTTCTTTCAACTGAACTCAATTGTAACAATGTTCTGGAAAACCAAATATAGATTTTGGACCCGGGTCTCAATCTTAAGTCTTGTTTTAGTGTTCAACATTTGGCAGTGGTGATAACTGAGGCGCACCCTTTTCAACTCCCTGCCCTTTCCCTTCCCCGTGTTTTCCCCTTGTTGCTGTCTCAGGTGTTGTGCTGGCACCGATGCTTTGACAAACACAGCATGAACCAGATCAGGGAGTGCATCCAGCTGGGATTCCCCACCAGATCAGTGCCGTGATGTGGTCTGCTGCACAGCTGCATGGATGCATGAGTGAACTGCTAGGGGCAAAGGCAGGAGGGAGGGTGGTTGGTTTAGCTAGCACTGCCACCAAAGTGTTGTTTGAGGAACTGTAGAAGAGACGTCTGCGTTTGGTTTGGGTTTTTTTTTTTTTGTACCTTTCTGCTCTCTCCCCTTCCCTTTTTTTCAGCTGTTACAAATACCCCCTCAGGTTGAGGCTGTCTTGCTGGGAATGCTGCACCAAGGTGGGCAATTTTTGCCCCATCTCATAAAAATAAGGAAATACAGACGGCATGAATTGCAGACTGGCATGAAGGAGAATGAAATACAGAAATTAACCGGTTCTTATGCTCCTCTGTTACCCATTACTACTTAACTTTGCTGCTTCCTCTGTCCCATGCCTTCCCTATGGCTTTTTTCTTCCCCTTTTATGCATCCCTGCCTAAATCTGCCTCTCCCTGATCCCATTAGATCCCTGTTTCACACCCGTCTCCTCCATGTCTCTGCCCTGGTTCTTTCCATCCATGTTGTCCAGTGTATTTTTTCCCTGACCTGAGGACAAAAGATTTCTCTTTCAGACCTGGAGTGCAGCTCGCTCGTCACCAGAGACGCCTGTTGTCATGGGCTGGCCAGGCGGCCTCTCGCCGGGCACTCCGCTGCAGATTGTGCCAGTGGAAAGTCTTCGTCTTAAGGGAACCTCTTGCATTTGCAATAGCAGAGAAGGAGATTGGATTAAGCATAGTTAACCTGTCCTCCAGAACAGGATGTTTTGGGAAGTTCATGAGTTTAGAAAAGACTTCCCACAACAAACCCACAGATCCAGTTTCCTACCTGGTTTGTGACTGGCAGACTGAGTAGGACAGGGACTCTCTTGGGAGCAAGATAAAAACAAATGGTCACGTCATATGTAAAACAGCGCTATGCAGCTGCTACTAAAAAAGTTATCTTGGCATCATCACGAGCAGTTTCCACACATGTACTGACATTGAAACTTATGAGGCACCAACTGCCAAGATGAAGTTGGGCTGGCCGGCGCCTCAGAAAGAGTGGGATGTTTCTGGGGTCAGAGATGGATCGGCGATATATATATA